CCACGGGAAAGCAGTTGTTCTTCTGTGTCTGCTATTGATGAGTGGGATGGTCTGACGGCTTCTTCCCAGGAAGGGGAGTTGGGGATTGTTCCCAAGGATTGTAGTGATACTCATCAGATGTTTCCAATGGCCATGGTGGAACCAGAGGAGGGGTGGGTTGAGGGAGCTGATGTTAGGGGTGGGGTTGGTGAGGTTACTGATGTTTTGAGGCATGAGTGGATGAGGGAGAATGCGGGCTTGGTGGGCAAACTTATTGCTGTGTCAGATGCAGGGGAGGGGAGCCAGGCAGTGTGTATGTTTCATGACATTGAGATGAGCCATAAGGTGGGAAGGAAGGGTAGGATTTCATCGGAAAAAGAGGAGAGGGAGGTGAGGAGTCTCATTTCATATGTCAATTATGATGGGAAGAGAGGGGTCAAGGGAGAGGGGCAGAGGGAGGAGGAGACGGAAAGAGATTTCTACTGTTTGCCAATGAAGTTACGAATTCCCTCATGGAACGTCCATGGTCTAAATGATTCGAAAAAAAGGATGGTGGTGAAGTTGGCGATTAGGAAGTGGGATCTGCATGTGGTGTGTTTGCAAGAAAAGAAATTAGCTTCCATCTCGGACACAGTTGTTAGGAGTATTTAATTCAAGCCTTGGTTCCAAATTTCTGTTCAAGCAGGTTTCAAAAATCTACTAAATTTCTGAAGAGATGTTGGAAAATCAGATTCCTTGTAAGTAACAGCAGATTGGTGTGTTTTCTTCGAGTACGGAAAAGAACGGAAGGATGGAAGGCTTCACTTGGGTTCTAATGTGATCGTAAATTGTTTCAAACTCCAGGTCAAGTTTTCTTCAAGGAGGAGGATCTGATGCAAATAACAATTAATAGTTTTGGAAAGTGTTTAGTCAAAGTTTTTAGTAGTAATTATGATATGAGACAATAGAAGCCATTATTAATGTTTTGTGGGTAGTTTGAAAATCAGTCTAGGAAAAGTAAGTGTCATTAATTCTTGTCTTATAAAAGGGACAGCCTATGTATCTGTTGAATGAAGTCTTTATCAGTATATTTTGAGTTATTATAAGTTATAAACAATTCTTCAGGCTTTTCCCAGATTTCCCTTTAGAAATCTAGGCTCCGACGGTGATTGGAGTATTCCTAGTCTTCCTTACAGTTGTAAGAAGACTTGTTCCTTATTCTGTTTGCTTCAGTCACTCTCTTGAAGAGCACTTTGTCAAGTCTTCCTACGTACTTCCTTTCTATCTTTCAGATTCCCTCTTCTATCTTTCAGATTCCCTCTTCAGTGGCTGAAAGGATTGAGAGGCTGCAGAGAAATTTTCTGTTTGGAGGTAAAGGGGAGGAGTTCAAATATTATCTGGTGCGTTGGGAGTGGGTTTGCACCCCAATTCGGATATGAGGCTTGAGTATCAGAAGATTAGTGCCTTTTAACAAGGCCTTATTGGGGAAATGACTTTGGAGGTTTGGAGTTGAGAAGCGCAAACTATGGAGAAGGGTGCTTGTGAGCAGACATTGGGAGGCGAGTGGAGGTTGGTACTCCCATGAGGTGAGAATCCCATTTGGGGTTGGGGTTAGGAAATATATTCGGAAGGGGTGGGACAATTTCTCCAAGCACATTAGATTTCGTGTCAGAAATGGTAGGAGGATACGTTTTTGGGATGCTATTTGGTGTGGGGATCGCTCACTTGGTATCACTTTTCCTAGACTTTTTCAGATTGCTACTGATAGACATGCCATGGTGGTCAACTATTATCGTGTTGATAGTGGAAGAACGGAGTGGGATATACGTTTCTCGAGACATTTTCAGGATTGGGAGATGGAGGATGTGTTGGCTTTTTAGAGTTGTTGTATCGTCAGGAGATAGCAGAGGAGATTTCAGACTTTTGCATTTGGAGGCCCTCTTCTCATGGGCGGTTTGACGTTCGGTCATTCTACTGCTGTCTTGTGGATGTTGTTGGACTGTCCTTTCCATGGAGGGTCATTTGGCGAACAAAGGCGCCTCTCAAAGTAGCATTCTTTGGGCGGAGGAGATTTCTGACTTTTGCGTGTGGACGCCTTCTTCTACTGGGCGGTTTGACGTTCGGTCGTTCTATTGATGTCTTGTGGATGCTACTGGACCGTCCTTTCCATGGAGGGCCGTTTGGCGAACAAAGGCGCCTCTCAAATTAGCATTCTTTGCTTAGACATCCATTTTGGGAAAGATTGACTCAGGGCAATCTTCAGAGAAGAAGATAGATTGTAGCCAACCGGTGTTTTATGTGCAAGAATGATGAGGAGACGGTTGACCATCTTCTCTTACATTGCCCAATGGCTCGTGATTGTCGGTTTTTGTTTCTGGGTTTGTTTGGGATTCACTGGGTTATGCCACGGTCTACCAGAGGCTTGATGAGGCTTGGAAAGGCTGTATGGTGGGGGGCCAAGCTCGGGACTCTTGGAGGGTTACTCCTTTATGTGTTTGGTGGTGTTTGTGGCTTGAAAGGAATGGGACATCCTTTGAAGGAAAGGAAAATCATATTGGGTCATTGAAGTTCTCCATTCTTAGCACTCTTTTATGTTGGGTTCTAAGGAGAAATTGTAAATCCTTAGATGAGCCTGTAGAGTTTTTGGATTTGTTGAGAGTTTAGAGGCCCTATTTGGCCTTTTGTTGTTCATGAGGAATGTGTTCCCCTTTTGAGCGCTTTTAATGAATTCTTACTCATCAAAAAAAAAAAAAAATCTTGTTTGATATGCCAAGGGAAAAAAACACGATTTAAATTTTTTTGGTTATATCTTTATTACATATTTTAATTATTTCAATTTGAACATTGATTTAGTTAAATGCATAATGAAAGTAGACACACTCTCTTAACCACCATCATCATCATTGCCTCAATCCCATATGAATCGGGTCGGCCATATAAAGTCTCGTTTTCCATTATAATCTATTACACGTCATCCCACCTATTATATCTAACTTTCTAAAATAATTCTAATAAATTCATGCCACGTTAATTTTGGTTCCTCTATGTCTCTTACCTTTTATGAAACTAATCTTCCCCTTCTTACCGGCACATCTATGGTCTTCCTTGTATGTGTCCATACAATCTAAGTTTACTCTCTTATGTCCGCATACTCTTAACCCACTGAATTAATATGCTGAAAAAAATCCTTAATTTGAATTTGACTAGTTTGTGTTTCAAATTTAAAAGTTTTGATATAATAGTTATATTTAATGTGTATATATATTAAATATGACTCAATTTGCTCACCTTTGTGCCTAACATTGCGCCTTTCACTTAGGCTCCATGAGACCTTAGTGCACTTTGAGGCCTTAATCCCTATAGATCTATGAATAAAATGGGTGAGTTGTATACATTATTGCGCAATTGTACAGACTATCAAGCAATTTGGCAGAATGTATATGTTGTAGGTTGCGTTTCCTCTCTAGCACAAAATAGAACTCACAAATACAAATTGCTGGTAATAAATTAGAATAAGACATCGTACTGAACACTTGAGGATAGGAGTTCTAGAATTCCTTAGATGTCAAAATAATCAAGGTGCAAGGCAATACATAGAACTCAAAATAATCACCAGACACCAGGTTCACAGATAAGGTATGAACCTGGTTTGTGGTGATCCAAAATTATGAAACACTGATAGGATACAAGACACAAGTACGACATGATATGGTTATTGCGATACGTCAAATCTCAAAAAATAAAAATTAAAAATTAGAACACAAAGACGGCAAAGATACTTCCAAAAAATAATATATTCATATATTACTATAGATACAAAAATAATTGATTTTTGCTCATTTTATGTACATTATCATAAATGCATTCACTAGTGTGGAACTTAAAACTAAGAGTAAGTTGTTTTTGTTTTTTAAAACTTTATATTATTTTCTAATTAACCCATAATATGTTCTAAAATTGCATTGAAACAAATTTTTTTTTTTTAAATAATTGCAAAACTACCCCTTGTTTCGAAAAAGTATCCCAAACGTCTACTCGCCGTGCCCATATCAAGTCACAACAATGCCTAACCATTTAAAAAATTATTCAAATTCTAAGATAGGAGTATTGGACAGGTGTCCTAACGTGTCGCCATGTCCATGTCAGACACGTGTCCAACAACACCACGGCACCCCCCTGGAGGATGTCCGCGCTTCCTAGTCCATATGCAACAAAAGAAATTATCTTATATCATCCATGATAAAGCTTACACGTTAAAACAAATTACTAGTTCATGTGAAAAAGATCACCATGATAGCATCTGGATTGACCGAGGCTATGGCCTTATATAGAGCGGAATGGAAGCATAGGGTTTGACCCCAAGTAATTGGGGAAAGGCTTTGTTGTTGTTGTTGACATGAAAAAGATCAACGCAAATAGAATTATATATCTTAAATCTTCCCCCTATTTGTCTCCTGCCTAACCTATTCTTCATTCACTTTAAAAAAAAAAAATTTACTATATAGATAGATATATTAATTGTAAAATTACTTGTCTCGTATTCACAGGAGTTGTCAAAATAAAAATAATTAATTTAGTCATTTTGTTTTCCCTCAAAAATGCACAAGCATGGACTAGACCTCAAATTATATAGATATAACTTGAATCAAAATTTCAGATTGTTCTTTCTTTCCAACTTTAAAAATTAAGTGGTTTAAAATACATTCTGCCCAAGCAGTTCCCTGATATACAATTCCACCTAGGTTCATATTGCAATAGTTGTGCCACATATGCAACTAGAGTGCTCATTGACCCACTGAACCACATAATTATAAGGTAAATCCTTGAAGAACTATGCCATCATCTAATAGCAGGCCAGCACAGGCCTAATGAAAGCAGTAGGAGGTTGAATGGCAACGCAACAACCTAGGTGACATGTAGACTACAGTGCATATGATTTATACTAATGACAGCACAAGGATAAGATCCAGCATTGGATTGGCTACACAACACAGAACTAGGTCAATCATGAAATAGCAGTTAGGAGGGCTGAGAAAAACAACCTGAGAAAGCTGTGAAGCAGTTCTATCACCCTTGAAATCTCCTTTCAAAATATTTGCCCAATTCCCTTCACCACATTTCTGCACAGCAGCAATCAGTTCCAGGTCCTCTGCTGCAGACCATGGTTTTCTTTTTCTTCGAGCAGGAAGGCTGCCACCAGCTGATCCATTTGCATCCAATCCTTCTGCAGATGTCACTGTGTGCAGTGGCTGTTTCTGAACAGAAACTGGAACAGTAATGTTTGTCCCTTGTATAGCTAGCTGTGAATTTTCTGAAGGAACTCTGGCTGACTGCCCATTAGGTATATTTATGGTCAACGGAGCCTCAACTGTGGCGCCATTTGACAGACTGGAGTCATTTGGTGCAACAGAAGCAACCAGTACCTAATCAAGCCAAACATTCCCAAAATTTTGCGAATTTACTTGAGAGTGGCAAAACAGTAAGATAAAGAAATGAATATGCAGTTCAAGCATTGTCCAAAAATTAATGGTACCATGAAACTGTGTGGTACAGACCATGAGATGCCGGCAAAACATAATAATCTGAAGGTCACAATCAGATGATAACAATCACCTAACCATATCTGTGTGGTGAAAAGCCCACATAGATAAGTCACACACACCCAAATCTAGCAGAATTCCATTAAAAAATTATAAAACCATCAATTTATAAGTGGCATGCGAAAAAGACAGCCAAAAGCAGAATCAATCCATTTGGGGTACGGGGAGGAAAGATTCAGGTCCTACTGCTTGTCCACCAACATGTGGTGGCTGCAATATTCTGGCACATATTTTGTTACTTATCTTCACATTTCTGCCAAACTAAAGCATGTTTAGCTGAACCTCTGTATTTCTATACATTATTATTGTTATTGCTATCTCTGTCCCAAATAATTTTCAAAATTTTGTTAGGGTAGGTCTTGACAACCAAGATACGAATAATATCTGCTATAAAAAATAATAATAATAATAAAAATAAAAATAAAATAAAATACATTGCCACATAGGGCTGCAACAAACCGAATTGAGGCTAGTAATATAGTTTCAAGCTCAGCTTGGTACAATTTATAACTGTTTAGGGTCAGCTTGAGCTCGAGTCAACCTCAGCTAAGCAGGCTCAAGCTCGATTTGGCTCGACTCGAATAACCAAATTAGCTATGTTCAAGATCAAGTTCAAGCTCAGAAATGAGCTTGATTTATCAAAACATCAGCTCCAAACAAGTAACCACATGAGCAAAACATACTCACGTCGAGCCAAGCCGAGATGTATTAAGACTTGGATTCTTTACCAAATGAACCTAAACATGTTGAACAAGCTTTAATAAAGCCAACCCCCAACATTTCATAATAGGTTCCTTCGCAGCTCTATGAAACCACCTGATTAAGCAAATATGAAATCACTTGAAAAAGACTTAAACAGAGAAACCACCACCTCAGTACCCAATACACACACTATGAAAATAGATTACCTTCATTATGGATTCTACTGAAGCAAAAAATTCATTACATAGCTAGTTCGAGTTACCTTCACACATGCTGCAGCCTCTGTTGAAGCTTCACAACTAACAGCAGGGAAAGCTTCCAGTTCATACTCCAAATCACTATCATCATCCTGACACTCATAATTAAATTCACTCGAAATAAGAAAAATATCAGTAAATCAAGACAAATTCATATTCAAAACACACAGAGACTAAAGTATTATAACCGTCCACATATATCACGTAAATACCATGTAGAAATTTCAGTCATATGATTATATCAGATCATCTGAGAATATCCCCCAAGTGATTGTATAAAATAAGTTCCGTTCAATTACACATTTTATAGACATGTATTGATTCAGTGATGTCTCGTCATCTAAGAAGCATGGAAACTTCTCTGTTTCCGACACGACACTCCATGGAGACTTCATGGTCACGTATCCAATACTTCATGAAAGTGTCCACAATTTATTTATTAATTCGGACACTTGGTCGGCAAATCCCAAAAACTTGACTGACACATCTCAAACACTAACACATCTTACACTCACCAATACAAGTTTTATATAACACAGACATTTAACAATCTGGAAAACAATACAGATACAGTTCAAGAGAAAATTGATACTCTATATATGTCATAACATGTAATGACACTTCTCGTATAAAACATTGCTATAATTATAATGACAAGTCAGGTGAGTGAGAACATATATAATATTAAAATATTCACATAGCTCTCTTTTTTCCCCCTGGTTGGACGAAACCCCCACCCCCCAGGAATTGTTTGCACCCAAGAGGAGTTTAACCTTAGACCTCCTCTAAATTATTTAAAACATTCTAACTTTATTAGCCGTATCCATGTCCAACTTTTTTAGGATTTGACGTGTCGGCACCGTATCGTGTCCCGTGTCCATGTCCGTGCTACTTAGGTCGTCTACCTGTGTGAAATAAAGGTAAGTCTCATAACAAATCTTGAAACTGAACTTGATTGAGTACCATCAGCTCAATCTCATATTTGCTATAACTCATCGATCATACATGTCCATTTCCACTGCTAGCAAAGGTTTAAACTTTGGTTATCAACTAACTAATGCCACACTCCTCCTTTTCCTAGGCTTGAGAATAGCTATATAAAAATAAGATATCAGGCATGACACATGCAGAGTCAATAATATAAGCATTAATCATGAACATTAAACACTACAATCAAGCTCAGTGATCACTGAACTGCACACACATAAATTTAATAGGCGAGGAACTAAGACTGAAAGAGAGTGCAAGACTGACCAGAGGTTCAGCCCCATTGTCTAATCTTTCTAGCAATGAATCACGATAAGCCAAATGTCGCCACAACATCTGATACTCCCTTGCACTGGAAATCCCAGTTGTAGTCCTCTTCACCAACGCATTCCAATCAATCTTCGCATCCGAAACCTGTGCCACTTCTTGAAGCAATGCTAACACTGTAGTCGCGGTATACCTGTAGAAAGCACAACAATTGCATATATTTTAACATATAGTAACAGTGTGTGTGTGTGTGTGTGCATATATGCAAAATAACACTCAAATGTTCATTTAAACATTCAAAATCAGACAATTATAGGCTTCAAAATAGCGCTCAAATCAAAAAAAATTCCCAAACAATGATGGCGATACATATGCATATGCAAGCGTGAGTGTACGTGTGGATGGGATAGACATTAAGCAGACAAAATTGAACAAAAAAGAAAACAAACCTTTGTAAGAGAGTGGAGATGTCTTCTTCACTAATCGAACCCTTTTTATGCCTCTTTGTCTTCTCAACCATTGTGTGCTTTCTACTGATATCGCATGTTCTACAGAAACTTCACTACTGTAAAACCCTAGAGAGAGAAAGAAAGGGGTTTTAGAGAGAGAAACGGTAAGTGAAGTTGTGAGACTGAGTTTCTGGGTAGTAAGAGGAGGAGAGAAGACGACGTGTTATCAAGTCCCCGGAGTGAATCGACCGAGCTATGAAGGGCGTGGACGACACGCGCCTTTCGGAACTGGTGGCGAAAGAAACGGGTGTACCGGTCTAGAGAGGGAAAGAAGAGAGAGAGAGAGAGAGAGAGTGACAGAGGACGGAGAGACGGAGCGGTGTTTGGGGGAAAAAGTGATATAGAAAATTGTTTCGTTTTGACTCTGCCAGTGGGGATTCGGATCTGTGTGGGATATGAGAAACGTACGGTGATGATTGACGCTGCAAATCTTGGTGATGGTGGTAGTACTATGGTATCATTGGGTAGTGTCTGATTAGGAGAATAATTGAATAGCTTAATTATTACTAATATTAGGTATTGACTAGATGTGATATACCATTAGTTAAGTTGCGACTTGTCATGTACCATTAGTTAAGTTGCGACTTGTTGATGGCAATTTGACCCGCCCTCGTGGTTATCCGCCCCACCCTATTTTCTTTTTGACGATTTTGAAGAACCATTTTATTTATTTGGGCAGGAATAGTTTGATATAATAAAAATTCGCGGGAGTTTGGTACAGGGGCGGCGCACCGCCCCATTTAGATAGTTAAATTATTTAAGTACCCTTAATTCATTAGTATATATATTTCCCACCATATATTAAGTACCCTATGTAACAATATTAAAATAACAAATGAATTTTATTAAAAGGAAAGTTGCAATGGTGAAGAATTGAAGATGAGGAAAAAAAAAAAAAAAAACAGAGCAAATCCATTTCAACAATAATTAGGGTCCGTTTGGCATGCGTTTTGTTTTTGGCGTTTTGCTTTTGGCAAAAACAAAAACAATGTTTTTGTTTTAGGAGTGTTTTGTAAAGAAATCAGAAGCACGTTTAGGAATGATATTTTATTGTGAAAATATTAAAAACAGAAATATGCAAAACCCGTTTGGTCACTAACAACTGTTGTCAAAAAAAAAACTGAAAGTGGAAAAAAAAAGTCAGCCTTATCTCAAGACCTCAGCTGACATGAAGTTGTCAATCTCTCCGCCTCCATCGTGATCTTCGTGTTCCTCGTCATCGGAGGCAAAATTATTGGCGTTGTCGGCAACGGAGGGAGGGGATTTGTGGCGGATTTTGATGAGGCGTTCGAGAGCTTGGTCGAGGCTGCGCTTATGGATGTAGAAGGCAGAGACCGCCATTACCGACGCTCCGAACAAGGCCGCCAACGCGAGATAAAGACTCCATTGTTCTGGATCTAGGTTTGGTTTGTTTCCAAATTAGATTTTACAAAAATTAGGGTTTTAATTTCAGTAAAAGGTTTCAAAAAATCTTCTAGCTTTGAAACTGGGGCTTTTATTTTCAGCAAATGGTTTCCAAATTTTGGCTTTGCCGAGAGTGGAATCTACCTGAGTTAGATTGCATATTCAACTTCAATGACTAAGAATAATTCAGAATTTCCAATTATGAAAACATTGGCAGCCATGGTTTTATTTCAGAGCACTAAAGTAAATATATCATGTGTCGCTAGGGTTACTGGTTGAAAGGAAGAAGATAAAGACGATACTGGTTTGTTTCTGTGTGATCTGTGTTGTATATGTTTCAAGTTTGAATACAGCAAATCCAGCTTCCATAGGTGTTGTATTTGATCAAATCCAGTAAATTGAGGGCTCAACTTCGATCCATGATGATGAAATTTTCTGAAATCGCCCTTGAAACGCAGAGAGAGTATTGGGAGAGGAGAGAGAAAAATTTGCCCCAAATGACCTAAAATGCTTATATACCTGAAGTAAGTATGTTTTAAGTTGGGCTGGCTGCTTCTTCGGCTACGGTGAAATCTTGGGCAAACAGGGCTGAAACAAGATAAAACACCATTTTGGTGTTTCAAGTTTTGAGGCTTTTTACTTAAATGTTTCACAACTGTGCAAAACAAAACATAATCAACCAAACATGTTTTGGGCTTCATTTGGGCTACTATAGGGGACTAAAAACAAAAACAATAAAAATAAAGTAGATACCAAACAGGCCCTTAAATTATAGCTTAAACGAGGCAGGGCGGGTACCCGCGGGGGTAAAAATGTTAAACAGTTACGGGAATGGGGTGGAAAGTTCCCCCGTTTTTGCTGTTTTGGACGGGGATGAGGGCGAGGTTTTTAAACGATTGTGGAGGCGGGGGAGGGTACACCCGCCCAAACCCGCCCCCGTTGCCATCCCTATCTGTATGGCAGCAAATCACATTGGCCAGCATCAATTGTGACATTGTTTTTAAGTATTATAACAAATCAAAAATATTGAATTACAGGGGTGACAATTCGTGTTAGCGTGTCAACATGATTAGGGTTGATATTGTCTAAGATTATTGACACGAACACGACATGATTATTACACGATTATTATACGTATAACATGACACGACACACATAACCTGTTTAATGAATGAATAGGACTTTACACTATACAAAAAGACACGTTTAAGTCATTTTTTTTATATAAACACACATTTTTATTCTATACGTTTAATTAATGGGTCATTTTTTACATAAATATGATACGTTTATCTGACATGTTTAGTTAATCGTGTCATAATCGAGTTTGAACACAACACGTTTAGTTAGCGGGTCAATTCGTGTCAACACGATTATGACACAAACACGATTAGGCCAAACCCACCTTCTTATCTTGTGTCGTGTTAACGTGTCATGTCAAATATTGTCACTCCTACCCCAGGAGCAGGGTTTTAAGAGGCAAATTGTTGAAATCTCGTTTTCGAACCGCACTCCTAACTCAAATAGTACGTATATTGTGGAACTGATACACGTGTTCTAAAAAAAATCCAAATATTAAACTACATAATTAATATATATTAATGAAATCGCATTATTTGGAATTTAATTAATGTGGAGTTGGGAAACTTAGGATTTACTCTCTGGATTTAAAATTGAAGATAATTTAATTTAAAATTTTAATTTAATTTCATTCAATTTTAAAATACGAATTTGATAATCTTAAACATAAAATAATTATCTTTAATTTTTTAAATTGAGTAACGTAATTTTACAAAAGTGTTATAGTTGTGGAAGCAACTAACTGAAATAGTGATCTAGCCAAAATCATCTCAGAAGCTTTTATTGTTGGGGGTACCACACGGTAAAATATTTTCGAAATATTGAAGATTTTTATGTTTCTTTTTGTTTCAACATGAAATATATATTTTTTTAAAATATTTTTTTCAAGTAATATATATATATATATATATATATATATATATATATATATATATATATATATATATATATAATGTTTGGTAAAGGTCTAAGTTAAGGTCGAACTAATCGAATGGGGCATGTAAAATAATTTTTAAAAAATTAATGAATAAGTTATTTTTGTTAGGTCTTAATAATTTTTTTCTTCTTAAATATTTTATGACAATCAAACAACAGAAATGCAAAATAATATTTTAAGCTGGCCTTCAATTTCTCATAATTATCCTCACAAGAGAACTATTTTCTTTTTTACAATAAAATATGGATGAGTATATTAATTTTGTCTTGCTATTATGAGTTTTGAGGGGTTGATAATGTTTTGTTTCATCGGTTTTTTTATTTTATTTTTTCATTCTTTTTTTCCCCTTGAATTTTAGAAGATGGAAATTGTGGAAACATATTACTTTCATTCTCTAAAGCACTAAAATTTTCAAAAATTGCCTGAAAATAAATTACTTTTCATTTCAGCTAAACCAACAAATGAACAAATTCTAGTTAAGGCAACCCACTTCGATATTTATAAATAAAACCTTTTTTTTTTATGTTTTTTCGAAAACAGTTTTTCACATGCTCCACTGATAAAAATATTGTCCACTGTAATGAAAGTCTTAAGTCTTGTTGAACAGAAATTTCAATACACCATCTCTAATTTCGTGTAGATTAAAATTTCTGCAGTTCAACGTGGTTGCACTAATAGATGCAATTAATGCAACTAAACTTCCCGTATACTATTTTGAGATGTGACACCGAACACTTGAAGTGAATTGTCTGACCAAATAATTTTTAATTGACTATATATATCAAATACAACTAAATGAAGAGCTCAATTTTCTTATTTATTACATAATTGATTAATTAAAATAGTAGGTCTAACAATTCACAGCAACTATTCGGTGGAAAAATCATTTCCCTTCTGAAATATATAAACAATGATAAACAATATAAGATGACATGGGAAATAGTAATAAAATTCGTAAAACCTGATTATTGGGTGTCTCACACAACTACGTGTCTAGTCTACAACAATTGTTGTGGTGTGGAATCTATCCTTTGTGAGACACACAATCAAGGCCGAACCAATTAAGGCTCAGAGGGGGCACATGTCCCCTAACCTGCTCCACCAATTATACTTATAAGGTAATTTTTTTTATTTTTCTACATATTTAAGAAAAAATTTATATAATGCCCCCTATATATTTTAATTTCTAAAATTATTTCTTTGATTCATTTAATTTCCCTTTCTTCTTCAATTTCACTTAACTTTTTTTTTTTTCCTTTCAAACTTTTCTCATTTTTCTTTCCTTTATCTTTTTCTTTTCTTTTTTTCCACTACTTCTTAAAGTTCTTCTTTTTGCACTTGTATTATGTAACTTTTTTTCACCATGCTTAAATTATATAAAGTTAACGGGTGTCATTTCATACAAAAGAGTTACAACTAAATTCAATGAAAATATTATCGAATAATTTTTAAATTTTTTATATTGGTCAATTATTTATCTTTCTTAGAACACTAATTGATTATCATATTATATAGCAATGATTCTTTTCTTCTTCTTTGACCTTTGATTTGAACAAATAGTAATTTTATTTATTTTTACACAACACCCCCCCAAATTGAAATCCCAACTTCGCTCTACACACAACTAGTCCGGTGTAGGTTGCAATGACGTTGCTCAAATGACATTACATAAGATTTCTATGAGCATGTTTGTTGATTAATTTTATTTTGAATTGTCTAGTTTACAGCATTGTTGTTTCTTTATAGAAAGGGAAAATGTTAGGCCTTTCAGTTGCAATTAACACAACAATAGTAAGAGGAAGTATAGAAATATGCTTGATGAGATGTGCGTACAAAACTTTGCGCTATACCTTCATCCGGGTTGAACACACCCCTCTGTGAAATTTGTGAAATATTAAAATGTAAATGGCATATTTCGATGAGCAAAA